TGAACTCCTCTAACCGTTACTCAAGATGGTAGTAAATATTAGTGTAAAAGACGTTTTTGAATTTATTGCTAACGTAGATGATATCAATGTAAATGGAAAGCAAATGCTATCCCTAGATGTAGCATCATTGTTTACCAATGTACCACTTATGGAGACTGTGGAATTCATTACTAGAAAACACAGTTCGACATCGGAATTCCAGTTATTAGTCTGAAAGTGTTGCTTTTAAGATGTACTATGAATGTACACTCCACATTCAACAACCTTTACAGCAGGCAAATCAACGGTATTGTTATGGGTTCTCCATTGGGGCCAATTTCGGCAGATTTCTTTCTTCCTTAGGTTGAAAATGGTCCATTAAAACAAGTAATAGAATAAAACTGATTCTTATTTTCGATGTGTTGATGATACGTTTATTATTCTTGATGTGAAAGCTGACAAGAATGAAATGTTAAAAAAGTTTAATGTTGCACATCCATCGCTTATCTTCCCTTGTGAAGAAGAACATGATGGTAGACTACATTTTGCTTGACGTCCAATTGAGCAGAAGAAAGGATGGTTCACTCGAGAGAGATGTTTTTAGAAAACCTACATCTGTAGGACAATATACACATTTCCTCAGTTTTGTACCAATCCGATACAAAATCAATTGAGTCAGATGCCGCCTAACGAATAGAGCAAGACGTATCTATACAGATGACTCCCTAAAAAATGAGGTAGGATACATCCAAAATACACTGGTCCAAATGGGTTATCCTAGTAGATTTGTAAGGAGACACATGAACCCCAAGTAAAGAGAAACTAACAACAGTTGAAAAGAGGCAACTGTTTATGAAATTGAAATTCAGTGGGGATGTGGCTAGTGAAGTCTTACATCTGAGACTGTCGAGAGCGATAAAACGGACTAATACTGCCGCCACCCTTTGTTTGTCATTTTCCAGCCGGCCAATTTCGATTGCTCAAGTGAAAGATAAGCTACCTAGCTGTGCCACATCGATGTGTATCTATAAATTGAGTTGCTCCTGTGGAGAGAGCCATATAGGACAAACAACTAGACAGCTTAACAAACGCATTAATGAGCATCTTCCTTCATGACTCGGAATAGGTCAAATAAAATCCATACGAAGTTCTATTTTGGCTCATTTGATTGGTAGGGGTCACCAAGTGGACAAAAATAGTGCCTTCAAAGTTATCTATCACATTCCACCGAGCCTTTCTAACGGAATTCGAATCCGTCTTTCACACATAACCGAAACTATGAGAAATAATTCGAGAGAACAATCCTGGTCTTTGTATACAACAAAAGAAGTTTGTTCTAACTTTGTCTCTTCCTTGCCTGGCCTAGGTGAATTTTATTCGAAACCCTCCTCCCTCTAGCCTTTCTTATTTCCCATCTTCTTCGTAATTTTTATGATATTTATTTAAACTCTGATTATATGTCCACTTCACCTTTAGTATTACGCAACTGTTAAGATTTGACCTAATTTATTTACTTATTGAATTGTCTGCATATACACATTTTACTGAGGCAACCGAACGCCAAATGGCTAAGACACTTAAATCACTAGCTGAGAGTAATCTGATTCCTAAGGATACACTCGACAAATTGAAACCCTCAGATACGCACACATCCAGACTTAATGGTTTGCCGAAAGTCCATAAGCCGGGAGTACCACTACGTCCCATCTTAGATATGTGCCGATCCTCTTATCATTCTACAGCGAAGTGGTTGGTAAAGGCACTAGATACGCTACATCGCGAATTAGTGAAATTCAGTGTAAAAGACGTATTCAGCTTTGTGGAAACTACCAAAAGCCTGAATGTAAGGGGAAAGAAATTGATGTCACTGGATGTAGCATCATTATTCACCAACGTCCAAATTCTTGAAACAGTCATATTGTCTCACACCCTGACTACACTCACCCTCGAAACCTGTATTTTCTGTTGACTATATATATACAAACATCATTAAATTAAATTACTTCATCTCATTTTGTCCCATGTTCTCATTGATCATGCATGTTAAAAAACCATATGACTATTGTTTTATCCCATCTTACTTATACTTGTTCCACAATATATTTTATGATATGATTGTCTTTACTGGCTGGCTATTGTATGCTTAAATTAATGGATTTATAATTGTAGAGCCTGAAGAAGAAGGATTTATTGGAAACACAATTGTTCACTCTAAATATTTTATTCTGGACATATTACTACCTTTGTTATTCTTATGGCCACTTGCATAAACCTTATTATCAATATTTTGTTATCATTATAATCATCGTTATTAACTACTTTAAAAACATTAACCACATTATTATTATTATTTGTATTTAATCCACAAAATCACCATCATCGGTTATAAATTTTCCTATATAAAACTATTTAAATTAGAGTAAAACCTGAAGGATAAGCAGTAGAACTCGGAATTGCATCCAAGAGGGAAGTAGAACGTGTAGAATTTTCTTCTATCAACATCAATCAGGTTTTTCTATCCGGATCTCTAAGGACTCGGCAATGCAGGGTATACGGAAGCGCGCCATTTACTGGGAGGCTTCTTTTGACTTTGTAGATGACTTTCGATGAATTCTCCTTTCGCATTGAGCGACGCATATTGAATGTATGTTAGATTATAGCATCCTTTATTGATCCACTGTTACCTTTTTGTAGCCTAGCGGGATAATGTCCTTTTACTCTTTTAGATAAAACACTCATCGAACGAAATATATATCTCCTTCGCTCCATATTGGCAAGTAAACTGACAGATACACATAGAAGTGGCTAAATGCGATAGTTCACCTTTGGAGTGGGTGGGAGGGTTTTGAATAGAATTCACCTAGGCCAGGCAAGGGAGAGACAGAGTTAGAGCATCCTCCCCCATGGCTCGGAATAGGTCAAATAAAATCCATACGAAGTTCTATTTTGGCTCATTTGATTGGTAGGGGTCACCAAGTGGACAAAAATAGTGCCTTCAAAGTTATCTATCACATTCCACCGAGCCTTTCTAACGGAATTCGAATCCGTCTTTCACACATAACCAAAACTATGAGAAATAATTCGAGAGAACAATCCTGGTCTTTGTATACAACAAAAGAAGTTTGTTCTAACTTTGTCTCTTCCTTGCCTGGCCTAGGTGAATTTTATTCGAAACCCTCCTCCCTCTAGCCTTTCTTATTTCCCATCTTCTTCGTAATTTTTATGATATTTATTTAAACTCTGATTATATGTCCACTTCACCTTTAGTATTACGCAACTGTTAAGATTTGACCTAATTTATTTACTTTCTATGGTTTGATTTGTAAGGATTAGTTATGTTTTACGGGTTGATCACGGATTGATATCAGTTAGAGAACCATTGAAAACCAGAAAGTACCGGACAGCTGCTGTTTCATCCTAGTTTGGGAATCATCGGCAGTACGCACCCACTGGGATTCCAACCCGGGACCTTCCGGTTACAAGGCAAGCTCGTATACCATTCAGCCACTGGGACCCGATTCAATGGCTCGTGAATTCTAACTTCTACTAATTCGTGATTTAGCGCGACCCCAACCATTGTCGTTGGTGGGACATCCATCCACACACGTCACATCTAATTGGACCTCACTGGTCACGACTTCTCACTAGAACTCAGGAAACTCCAACCTGTCACTAGCGAGCATCAGATTAACTTTCTATTTATTTACTTATTGAATTGTCTACATATACACATATATGCATATTACTACCTTTGGTATTCTTATGGCCACCTGCATAAAACTTATTATCAATATCTTGTTATCATTGTAATCATCGTTATTAAGTTTTTTAAACACATGAACCACATTATTACTATTATTATTATTATTATTTATAAGATTAATAGACGAGTATAAAATGCTGCGTAACACGGTGTGAAATTTGATAACATAGAATTTAATATTGTAAAAATAAAGATAAAAAGTATACACATGAATAATTTTTGGTTTAAAATGTCAAGTAAGTCAAGTGGTAAAGAATCAGAAAGAGAGTCGTAATAATAATAATGATCGAAGTAATCAGGGAAAAGTACATAGAATAACTAAATAAATAAATGTCTATCCCTCTACGGCCAAGGCAGCAGTAGGGATTGTACATGCCTCTTTTTTTTGCCGAGGCCTTGGCAATTCATGACTTTAAGCCAGACCTTTGTGTACAAAAGAAGCATGTACAATCCCTACTGCTGCCTTGGCCGTAGAGGGATAGACATTTATTTATTTAGTTGTTCTATGTACTTTTCCCTTATTACTTCGATTATTATTATTATCATTATTTTTATTATTACGACTCTCATTCTGAATCTTTTCCACTTGACCTACTTGACATTTTAAACCAAAAATTATTCATGTGTATACTTTTTATCTTTATTTTTACAATATTAAATTCTATGTTATCAAATTTCACACCATGTTACGTATAATTTTATACTCGTCTATTAATCTTACTATTATTATTTAATCCACTAAAACACCATCATTTGTTAAAATATTTTCTGTATAAATCTATGTTAATCAGAATAAAGCCTGAGGAAGATCTGATCGGAAACAATATTGTTGCCTTGTATGTCTTGTTCTTATATGAAATATGGGAATATTTTAAAGATTCTACTATTTCGTTACTAATGTTTTTTCGAATTTTTTTATGATTTCTTCGTAACATCTTTTTCTTAACCAACCATTTATTTTCTCTTTCTACCTATTACACAATTCATTTTGGGCAAGTATCTCCATGCTCTTTTATTAACATCCTACTTCACACTACTCAACCCTTCTCAATACTCGCCAGTCTTCAAATCACCCTCTCCCATAGTTACATTTTGAATATTCATCACATTTTTGAAACAAATCGGAGTCACACTTAGATAATGTCAAAGCCTCGTGTAGCAAAGCTTTTTGGTCATTTTTATGAATCCTTGACCATGAAATGACAAGTTACTGGTCATCTTCCCTATTCATTTGTCCCTCACTTTCTTCCTCTTTCAGCAGTTCCATGAAACCAGTTGCATCAGAGATAAAACATCCCTGGGATTTCAATGAATTTACCAATATATTCACACCCATGAATGATACAGAAGTCCAGTTATATTCACTAAAAGATTATTCAAAAGTACGCGAAATCTCTGAACAATTTTATCTAATTCTATTTTTTGTATCCATTGGTTATACACTTATAATTGCATTTCTTACATGTAAACATAAAAAACCGACAGATCATCATAAGCATACTACTGACCAACACATTACTAGTAGTATACATCACAATAAACAAAAACATTATTTTGTCAGATTTACAACTCTTTGTCTAAACTATTTATCACAGTATCCTGGATTACCAAATCCACTGGATTTCATTGTCTATAAGCGTATTCCCTACATTTATACCTCAGCTTATATGTGTGCATTTGTTCTAATCAGTGGAATTTTCACAGATAATTATCATGTCAGACAAGTCTACTTGAATGCTCCACTATGGATGATTGTCATCTACAAAATCTTTGTGATATGCTTTCTGTCAATCACTTTACTCCCGGTGTTTTTAAGTATCACCTACGGCGGTCTATTCGCTTGGATATCTGGACTAATCTATTGCCTATTGAATTTAGTCTTCCTATTAATGTCTATTATTAAAATCCTTATGAATGATAGTTATCAAACATTATCTCGTGTCTCTATGCTATTACCAACATTACTGGCTTATCTCATTCTGTGCAATTATTTTCTCTATCAAATTATTTACAATTTTAAACATTTACGTCGTCATGTGTTTAAATCATTCCCGCCAAATTCAAACTCTTATGTACAATTTGTTATGACATATGTACAGAATAAATTGAATACAAAATCTAAACGACACTATGCATATCAGTGTAAGGATCAGGTTAATCATCTGGAGAGGATAGATTCAAATTTCTCGTGTAACTCTTCTACACAAGCAACAATCCCTGATAATACTAACATTCATGTTGTGCATAGTACAAGTCATAGGTTTTTATCGAATACAAAATTCATCGATCATTTAACCTTTGAATTATTGAAATTACCGCGTTGTTTATATAATTTCTGTTATCCAACTGGTTTAATATGGAGTATGGGTGTTAGTATTATGCTGCATTATTTTCTCACTATACAGTCAATATCCTATATGATGAATTTAAGAGATCTTGGCAAGAAGTATATTGAAACATTGTACCCATCGATGAGAATGTCATTAAAACAAAATTTGTGCTTTTCAAATGTTAAATATATATTTGGTTTATTCAATTATAGTTCCAATGTCACATCATTATCATCGCCATCATCATCAGAGTCACATTCGTCGTCTTCTCCGCCAGCATACAGAAGTCCAGTGAATCGTAACCACCTGGAGTATGCCTTCGTTTATTATTGTATCGATATAGTATGGATAATCTTTTTAATGAGTATTACTATGGCTTTGATTGTTAACATGTATAATATTTGTAAGATTCTGTTGAATTATCACGATTTATCTCTGTCAGTTTATGCCAAAGGCTTTTCATGTCTACCTGAGATTGAAAAGTGTATGAATCCAGTCCGAATCACCTATGGATGCATTGTATTTCCAAGTTATCAGATCGCGGCACTAGTCTGTGGCTTTTATCTACAAATAATCCTCTACTTCCTGGTGATATGCTTCGTATTCTTTTTGCTCTCATTCAATCTCTTCACACCATACACCTTCTTGATTGAAATACTATCTCATTGGTGGCCAGAGATAATTATCATCTGTGCATCGGCAATTATTCAAAGACTAGTTATCCAATATGCATATACGCAGAGTAATGGTCAAGCGATTGGCTTTAGAAATCTACGCTCCTTACATCAATTCATGTATATATCTAGTTTTTATAATATATTCTATGGGATAATTAGTAGCCTGTGTCGAATACTATTGTATCCAATTAGTAGTGCAGTAAGTTTAGCTCGACTAGATGTCGCCTCGTTGACAGCAACACCGCGTTGTGCAGATACAGGGTATATGACATTTCTTGGCTTCCTGTATGCTGATGTGATGCACTTTAATCCATGCCTACGTCTATTTATTTGGATAGTAATGGATGCCTGTTTAAGGCGTAGACATTTCCCACTATATTCTAGTCAACAATACGATACAGCTTTTTTAATGGAATTTGAAAGTTTTCGTAAGTTCTTCCAATTAACTGATACACCTGTGAAGGAAGCGAATCATCTGTCTTATTCTTCACCGGATAGCTATTTAACAACAACCTACACTTCATCAAATAATAATCGAAGTATTTTATACAAGGAAAAAGGTGTGAAGAGTAAGTTGGGTATGCATTGCTGCTGTTTATTTGAGATGAATGAATTAAAGGCATGCAGTGTAATGAATGCGCATAGAAGAAGAATACTCATTCGTAATCGTTGGTTTTTATACTATACACTTGTACGTAATCCTCAACTTTGTTCACATAGAAGAATGGATCCGATTTGATGTAAAAATGATTACTCTGTCTATCTGTATACTTTCTAACGTTTCCCTTTGTGTTTATGTGGTACACCTGAAGTATTTCACGTCATCTTTGACTGTCTTCTTGTTGTAAACAAAAACAAAAAACGATTAAATGGAGATATCGTTGATTCCAAAATAAAATTCAATACCAGTGAACATATTATTGTTAAAATCCAATCTATTAGTAGGCAGCTATTGAAGAGTAAAAACATTTGTGTTCTCATTCTGTGAATGAGTGAATTTACCTCATTTCTTATTTTGTTGTACTTGCTTAAATATTTATGTATTTACACTTCGATGTTTAATAAAATTACTTCAGAACAAGTTATTTTAAGCTAAAGTTTGTAACTAATATGAGGGCATAATTTGGGAACTGTTGGCATCAGATGATTGGAGGTAATCAGAAGAATGCCTCACCTGATCTAGTTTCGTGCTAGATGACGTTCACCAGTCAGCGAGGCGTATCTATAATCTTGAAGGAAATCATTTCCAAAAAATTCATACATTTGGTTCCCTTGATAAATTTCGATAAAGAAAGGAAGACGAAATTTGCAGTATAAAATGATATCATTCTATTTCACAGGTTCTCATCAGCTGCAGACTACCTGAAATTACAATGGTTATATAGATGATTATAACATACTTTAATGTTTGAGTGGTAGTAGAGAAGAGAGACTATAAAATTGACGCATCCAAAATGAAAGCATTACAATGTTTTTAGTTTAAGTTTTCATCATCAATTTATACGCTTTTAAAGTTGAAAAGAGGGGGAGGGGTAAGAGGGAAAACAGAAAAAATTGATTAACAGAACAGTGTTAGCTTTTAGGTTCACATAGCAACTCAAGAAACAAAAAACGGTTACAGTTTATGGGATTAAGATTTGTTCAGTGAGTTGAGATCACTGAATTAGATGACTAATCAAAATCAAAATTCTCTTACCAAGGGAGTGAGAGTGGGCTACCTTGAGCAGACACAACTAAGTTCTGCTATCAATGGAACTACCTACTATCGCCGATATGTTGATGACACATTTGTTGTTTGCAACGATATGGATCACGCATCGGCACTATATGATCGCCTAAATGAGATACATCCAAATATCAAATTCACCATGGAATATGAACATAATAATGAGTTCAATTTCCTGGATCTAAATGTAAAAAGAACAAACGAAGGCACGGTCGAAAAGTCCATCTATAGAAAAGAAACCTGGACTGGACAATATCTTCACTATAACAGCTTTTGTCCCATAAGCTATAAACGTGGATTAGTGAGGACTTTGTATGACAGAGCCAGGAAGCTATGTTCACCAAACAGGGTCGAAGAAGAATTAGTTTTCGTCGAGAAATGCCTAAGGGAAAATGGATACCCTAAGGGATTTATTCAGAAGTACAGCAGAGAAAAAGATGAGAAAGAAAAGCATCCAACTGTAGAAAAGAAAAAAGTGTTTATCTGTCTACCATACAAAGGAGATGCAGTGTCACAAAAGATTGACAAAAGACTGAAAGGTGCAATAAATAGAAGCTTCCCAGCAGCAAAACTCATAACAGTATACAGCACCACTCCTTCTTTAATCCACTCAAAACTGGATAAATACCCTGCTGATGTCACCTCCAACTGCGTTTATGAATTCACGTGCACTTGCGGGAGCAAGTACATTGGAAGGACAGAAAGAAGGGCTTCTATCCGGTTTTCTGAACATATTCCCAAAAACCTGTGCCTGAAAGGAAGCAGATATTCCCAGAGTGCAATTACCAGACACATTATTGATACCGGACATCTCGTAGAGATTTCTAAGTCCTTCAAAATATTAAATAGACAAAGGACAGCAAATTTACTACGATTTGCCGAAGCAATCGCAATCAAAAGACTTAAACCAGACTTATGCATACAGAAAGAGAGTGTGATTAACCTCTCACTCCCTTGGTAACAGAATTTTGATTTTGATTAGTCATCTAATTCAGTGATCTCAACTCACTGAACAAATCTTAATCTCATAAACTGTAACAGTTTTTGTTTGTTTCTTGAGTTGCTATGTGAACCTAAAAGCTAACACTGTTCTGTTAATCAACTTTTTCTGTTTTCTCTCTTAACCCTCCCCCTCTTTTCAACTTTAAAAGCGTATAAATTGATGATGAAAACTTAAACTAAAAACATTGTAATGCTTTCATTTAGATGCGTCAATTTTATAGTCTCTCTTCTCTACCACCACTCAAACATTAAAGTATGTTATAATCATCTATATAACCATTGTAATTTCAGGTAGTCTGCAGCTGATGAGAACCTGTGAAATAGAATGATATCATTTTATACTGCAAATTTCGTCTTCCTTTCTTTATCGAAATCATTTCCCTTCTGAGAGTCAAGCCCATGTTACCCAGTACTACAATTAGAGCCGTTACCACTGAGCTATTCAGGCTGCCGACTGGCCTCATGTGGGACTGTATTGGATTATTTTGATTGGACACTTGTCAGTAACCAGTGTGATGTGTCTAGTCCTTTTTTGGTGCATACTGAATTCTATCAGACAGGTTTGCTATGTGGATGTATTACTATTAATATTATTATTCGCATGGATTCCAACAGAACATCCTTTTATTTCATCCTGTTCTCTGCAGTCCTGTTTAGTTGACCTAACGATTGTTCATAAGCTGTCGTCTCCTCCTCGCCGGTTTTTCTCCATGTAACTCACCGACTCACTCAAAGTTCGTCAGTGCCCATTCGGGCCAGAATCGACGGTCTGGAGTGAGATATCATTCAACGACCTCTTAGGAGTATTTCCCATCTATCAGTATGCATTTTCTTTGGGATATTTGTGGAGCAATAGGTGATTGATTGCATAGCTGACTACTAGAGTTCCTTATTTTAATATCCTTTCTGACTGGCCATCTGTTCTTCAGAATGGAATGAAAGTAGGCAGCTGTTGATAAAATTCTGAAGTGACCTTTTGGAAATGCTTTTGGTAGGATGAAAGGTCTCCGGAGCATATAAAAGAACTTTTTTGACGTCAATCAGTGTTGAAAATATTCGGATCTTGCTGTTCTATTACAGTAGGCTTGCACACTGATTTCGACTCTGGTTTTAATGTCCGCCTATAATTGAAGTAATGCTGCTTCGATAAGTGGTACGCATTTTAGTTAAGTTTATCTGTTATTAAACACAGAGTGATATATTGCTGATAAGTGGATGAAGTTTCCGGCAGAATTTATTCCTACTCATAATCATACCAAATCAAAGGACTCTTGAACCGACCATCACCTGCAACGCGTCCAGAAATACCAACAACAGCACGTACACAACTGTAAGTTGACACTAATCCTCCAACGAAAGCTAAAGTCTTGAATGCAATCAAGCTTCTGAATTCTGGAAAAGCAGCTGGACCAGATGGAATACCCCCTGAAGCACTGAAAGCCGACCCAGAGACTACAGCAGACATGCTGACTCCATTATTGCGAAAGGTCTGGAAGGAGGGAAAGGTGCCTACTGACTGGAGGAAAGGTTACCTCGTGAAACTACCAAAGAAGGGCGACTTAGGACTCTACAAGAACTGGCGAGGAATCATGCCCCTGTAGACGCCAAGTGAAATTCTGAGTCGCATCATCCTGGAGAGATTAAAGGACGCACTGGAGACAGAACTCCGACCAGAACAAGCTGGATTCAGGAAAGGCAAATCATGTACTGACCAAATTGCGACTCTACGCATCATCAACGAACAAAGCATGGAATGGCCATCAATCAAACCTCTACCTCAACTTTATAGACTTTGAGAAGGCCTTCGACAGACAGCGTTGACCATGAAGTAATTTGGAAACTACTCGAGTACTATGGTGTACTCCAAATATTCATCAACCTCATTCATCAGCTGTACGACAACGGAACATGTAAATTGATCCACAACGCAAAACACAGCGAGGCGTTTGGAGTAAACACAGGAGTCAGACAAGGGTGCTTATTATCACCAATGAATGATATTCCTAATTGTGGTGGACTGGATTATGCGTCATACAGTGAGTGGGAAACGAGAAGACATGGATATCCTGGACAAACAGACGTGAAGAACCTAGAAGACATGGATTCCGCGCGTGGATGATTTATGTTTGATGTCACACAAAATCGAAGACTTACAAGCGAAAACCGACAAAATGGTAGAAGAAGCAGGTAGTGAAGACTGGACTCCAGGTGAACATAGACAAGACGGAGGTTATGAAAATAACCAAACAACACCACCACCAACAGCAGCAACATTTAGCACCAATCACCATCAACGGGAGGGATTTGAAAGAGGTAACTTCATTCACTTATCTAGCATTGAGCATAGTCTCAACCACAGGAGAAGGAACGGACGAGGATGTCAAATCGAAAATCGGGAAGGCGAGAAACACAAACATTCATCAACCTGAAACCAATCTGGAAATCTTCGTCACTCAGCCAGCATCAGCAACAAAATTCGGTAGGATTTTCAATACAAACGTCAAGTTAGTCTGTTCTTCTATACGGATCAGAAACTTGGCTGGGGGGGGTCACAAAGAATATTTCCAACAGCCTGTTGCAGACGTATATCAACAACAGTCTTCGCTGGTTCCATACTGAAGATCAGATGGCCGGGTCGGAAAGAATCACCAACAAGAAACTATGGGAAGGAACAAACAAAACAAGAACCAATCGCCCAACAAATAAGCAGGAGAAAGTGGAGATGGATTGTAAACTCGCTGAGGAGGCCGCCGCTGGGTGACATCACGCGCGCGTCAAGCCGTTGTTCGAGTGCAACCTGAAAGAGAAGCGATGGGTGGGATGTTCAAGGGTGACATGAAGGAGATGGTGTGAAGGGGAATTGAAAGAGTATGGACTAACATGGATGCAGGTGAAAAGTACAGCAGAAGCAAGTGGAGACGTGTACTTGAAGCCCTATGTTCCACTAGGAACCCAAGGGAACAATAATAATAATCATACCAATATATTCAAACGGTTACATAATTTACTCT